TGATATGGTTTTTTTTTTCTTGAATTAGTTTATACGCTTATTGTTGATAACAATTGCTTAGAACCCCATCAACAGATCCTTGACAGTAATGATATATCTGATCTGGGACTTATTATTTTCTGAGCTAGCACAATTTATTCCCAAAAGAACCATTGAAGTAAATTGATGATCAAAAAACTTTTTGCTATTTTACAAGGGTACGTTTAAAACAGAACTTAACTACAAGTTTTCTGCATTAACTGTCAAATTGAAGAAAATACGAAATCTGAAAGCTGAATACGACAGGAAGTGTTTTGGCCTTCTAGGGTTCCGACTTAGAGAATCCCCGTTTTTACTCAAGAATGTTGAAGTTTTTAATTAAGTCAACGAATTTATCTAGTTTCATATGCATCATGTAAAATCAGCTTTTATTGGGACTGGATGTCTGCCCCTCTTGGCTTTTATTCGGTGCCATAGGGACAAACTGGTCCCTAAATTATTTACCATCCATTTTGTAGATCTTCAACTATATTTTTAGTATGTTTAGTTTGATCATTATGGATGGGACATCTCAGTTAGCCTTGTAAAGTTCATTAGGTTAAATCCGTTTCTATGTCAACAAGAAACATTTGTTCTGCAGGGTGACTAGCAGTTCTATATAGACTGTCTTGACATTACAAGCTTACAACCATGAGGGTGTAATTTAAATGCATTTCAGGCTACCACATGTTCGAATAGTATGTATATACTAGTATAGTTGTATATGCCTTTGGTCTCTTAATGCATAAGAATGAGTAATCTGTGACATTCTATTATTTTTAGTAATTCTAAGCGAAATCCAAGTTATGTGGTTCAGTAGTTTCCTTTGATAAATTGGATAGTTGGCTAGTGTGTCATCATCCTTTTCGGCATTAGATAAGAAGGCATTGCCTGATTGCCTTTGCCTCTGTTGTTTGTTGGTGTTGTTTCAGAAAGTCTTTGTGTTTGACCGGTGTAATGGAGTTCTTAATATCTGTTTTCTTAATTCAAGTGTGCTTTTCTCATTATTTGAATTTCTAATTTTTATGGCCCGCTAATGTTGAGCTAATTTATGCTTCCCATATTTTTCAGGTGACGAGCTTCTCTCTGACTCTTTTCCTTACAAAGAAATCCAAAACGGGATTCTATGGGAGGTGGAAGGGAAGGTGAGTAATGAACTGTACTAATGTTTATAATGAGTTCGCGGTAGTATATATTTGCTTTCCAGATTATCGAATAAATTATCTTCTGCTCTGGAAAGTTTGCTTTGTCTTCTGTCTGTATTGAATTGGTTCTGCTTCATGCTCCCTTCCAATAGTTGAGAACCATTTATGCAGTTTTCTTGTTGAACTTCAACGCGAGAGGATTGCCAAAATTGTATTTCGAAACTCAAGAAAAACATCTTGCATTGAGCAATATAAATAACATCTTTATGTTTGGGATTTTTTACAGTGGGTTGTTCAAGGAGCTGTTGATGTAGATATTGGTGCAAATCCGTCGGCTGAGGGTGGAGAAGATGATGAAGGTGTTGATGACCAAGCTGTCAAGGTGGTTGATATTGTTGACACTTTTCGTCTTCAGGTTTGTCATCCACACCAGACTTGTACATTACCCCCTTTTTTCAATAAAAACAAGAAACAGAAAATTAAATTGGTTGTGTGTATTTGCAGGAACAACCATCATTCGATAAGAAACAGTTTGTGACCTACATGAAGCGTTATATTAAATTGTTGACACCCAAGTTGGAAGGGGAGACACAAGAAGTATTCAAAAAGAATATTGAGGGAGCAACCAAATTTTTGCTATCACAGCTCAAGGATCTTCAATTGTATGTGTGCTCCTTTCTCTTTCTTTATATTGTTAAATCACCAAGTCCAATTTATTCAATCTATATATTACACAACAGTTTAGAATAGCTGCACTCGCATCTAATTACTCTTTTATATCTTACACTAAAATGGCAAGAATCGTTCATTATATTCACAATGTGGAGATAAAGCTCTTCTTTGAATCATCTGAAGTGACTGACATTTTAAGGACTCCTAGAGATATTTTATAGAATGCAATTAGATTTCTTTTTTAAGGAAAATATTAAGGTTATGAATGTTTGTTGTTCCACGGTTAGTTGAGTATTTGTTGTGATAAAGACATTAACATAGTAAAAGTTTGGAGTGTAACCTTAATTTACTAATATGTGTGCATTGTATTATATTATTTGCAGTTTCGTGGGGGAGAGTATGCATGATGACGGCAGCCTTGTTTTTGCTTACTACAAGGATGGTGCTACTGATCCAACATTTTTGTACTTCGCTCATGGGTTGAAGGAGATCAAATGTTGAGGATGAGATGCTTCTGCTTTGGCAATAGTTTTGACATTTAATATTAAGTGTTTTTGTTTGAGCACTATGTTTATGCTATATATAATACTTTGAGAGTTCCAAACTTGAGCAGACTATTCGGAGTTAGTTTAGAAAAGTATTTTCTATTTATTTACTAAGTATTGTTGATCTTTAAGGTGCTCTTTATATTGGTTTTATTTGCATTTTTGTCTGCCATGAAGAACACACCTCTGATCATCTGCCATTTATTATGTCAATATGACATGGCCACTTAACCTTAAAAGATATGCATCAAACACAGATTAAAATTTTATATGTCCAACAGAAATTAAGGCTACATCTTGGGCATGGCTTAATGTCTCAGAGAGCCATGGTGTTAAGAGAGAATGTTAGATTTATAGACCTGTTGTTCGGCTGGAGGGTGGTGATGGCCGGCAGAACAGAGTTGATGATGCAGTCTGCCACATACTAGCATTGGTTTGTTTGCAGCAGGTTTGGGTAGGAGTCAGGATAGGAATGTATGTTTATTTTCAAGGGTTTAAACTGACGCTGCATCCTTAAGTGCAGGCTGATCGGTACTGTAAGTGTTTTATCCAGATCGTTATTAATAAAATTCTAACTTTCGATAAAAAAAAGTCATGTTTTTGTTGAAATTGATTCACAGTTTGTCTTCCAACAAGGGATTTAAAATCGACCTCTACAGTTGTTGTGCTTTGGAGGGACATCAAATGCCTACTATACCACCCTCTGGAATTCAATGGAGATACAAAGAAATTAACAGCTAACATTGCAGATTCACTTGCACATCATTTATGACACAAGCACAAAGTCTTCATGCTAACCACACAGTGCAGCCACATTGTCCAGACTATCCTCAAGAGATTAAGAATATATACGATGTCTAAGTTCGACTCTTTCTGGTGGTTATCACCACCTGTTGTTACTATTAAAATCTTATTAATGATGTACAAGGCATCAGTACTGCCAGGTTAGTCTGACTTATTAAATAAGAATAGCAAGTTATCAAAAAAAAA